GCAGAGCGAGCCCAGCGTGTTGTGGAGGACGGCCAGGCGGAGACGCACGGCGGGGTCGTCGGGGGGCATCATCTCCTCGGCCTGCTGGTAGTCGGCCAGAGCGAAGCGCCACTCGCCCTGCTGGAAGAAACAATCTGACACACGGCGGGGGGGGGGGGGGGGGCATTGATCATGATCAATAATTAAGAGCTTGTGATCAGCGACATCAGCAAAGGGACTTCTTTTGACTCACACAGACACATTCTATTCAGAAAATATACACAAAATGAGTGTGTGTGTGCGCGGGGGGGCCTCACCTCCTCGGTTTAGGTACAGGCCAGCCTGCCCCTTCTCCTCCTCGACGGCCTTGTTGAGGAGCACAGTGGCCTCGGCGTGGAGGCCTCGGCCGAAGCACTGGACGGCAAAGTCATTGTAGGTGAGAACCAACTGAAACCGCACCTCCTCCTCCACGGAGCCCCGCCCATCCTGCTGTCCTCTGACCTCCTCCTCCTCCACGGAGCCCCGCCCATCCTGCTGTCCTCTGACCTCCTCCTCCTCCACGGAGCCCCGCCCATCCTGCTGTCCTCTGACCTCCTCCTCCTCCACGGAGCCCCGCCCATCCTGCTGTCCTCTGACCTCCTCCTCCTCCACGGAGCCCCGCCCATCCTTCTGACCTCTGACCTCCTGCTGACCTCTGACCTCCTCCTCCTTCACGGAGCCCCGCCCATCCTTCTGTGCTCCGGCCTCCGCCTGACCCCTGACCTCCTCCTCGAGCAGTTCCATAGCCTGGACCAGATCCTCGATGGCTGCTGTGAAGTCCTTCATGCGTCGGTAGAGGGTCCCTCTGATGGACAGTATGTAAATAGTCATGTATTAACACCACCCCCCCCGTGTGCCCCGGCTCACCTGAACAGGTGGAGGCGTGCGTCCTGCGGGCAGTGCTGCAGTGCGCGGTCGATGCTGAGCAGGGCATCGGGCAGCCGGCCTCTCAGGACATCGTCCTCGGCCCGCCGCCGGGCCGCCTCGCCGGCCTCCCGCAGCCGCTGCAGCAGGGCGCCGGCGACGGGGCACCGGGGGTTCAGTGCCAGCGCCGAGGTCACGTCCCGATGACACTGGGACGTCTGCGCGCCGGATGACATCACTAGATTAACATATCTTTGTTACTTCAGATTACTGGATTCTTCACAGCATCAGCTCATTGCCGACATGTAGAGTGGGAATGTGTCTGAAGTTGTGACCTTGTTGAGCAGTTTGAGGAGCCGCGCTCTGAGGATGTAAAGGTCGGAGGTCGGACCGTCCGACAGCATCCACTCGTTCACCCGCTCCAGACACTCAGCGTGGTGACCTGCAGCCGCCAGGCAGACCAGACTGGACCCAAGAGACAAAACACATCAGCACTCAGATGCTGAAAGCTGCATTCTGTGCAGTGACCAGCAGGGGGCGACTCCTCTGCTCCCATAGACGTCTATGAGGAAATGACTCTACTTCTCTGTAGTGACCAGCAGGGGGCGACTCCTCTGCTCCCATAGACGTCTATGAGGAAATGACTCTACTTCTCTGTAGTGACCAGCAGGGGGCGACTCCTCTGCTCCCATAGACGTCTATGAGGAAATGACTCTACTTCTCTGCAGTGACCAGCAGGGGGCGACTCCTCTGCTCCCATAGGCGTCTATGAGGAAATGACTCTACTTCTCTGTAGTGACCAGCAGGGGGCGACTCCTCTGCTCCCATAGACGTCTATGAGGAAATGACTCTACTTCTCTGTAGTGACCAGCAGGGGGCGACTCCTCTGCTCCCATAGACGTCTATGAGGAAATGACTCTACGGTTGACTGCTTGATTTATCCCCTCAGTAAACATTGTAAACATGATTTTATGTCTCAGTCTCTAGTTTCAAGTCTTCTTCAACACAACATGATGTTCATTTAGTGAATTATGGTCCATTTAGAGTCAAACAGACGATAAAACAGGGGATGCTGTAGGGCGGGGCTACTGTGATTGACAGCTTGCAGTGTCTCTACGTCCTCCTCATTCCATACATAGTCCATAATTTCCTGTTTACTGGTTGCACAGGAAAATCCCTTCCCTAAACTAAACCATAAGCAAAACTACACCATTTATGAAAGCCAGGAGCTGCAGAGAACGTCACTATGGATAGATCTTCATCTTTCTGACAGTCCATGAACACATCAAAAACATTTTATTCTTAAGTCAAGGAAATCAAATAAAAAAGGTTAAATTAAGTCTGTGACGTTTCTATGAAGCTTCGATGGACTTTACCGACCAACAAACTCTGGGAGCTAAAGTACTAATCCAAACACTTCAACGTATTTTAGGAGGAGCGAACAGTGATGAACGTCCAGCGTACGTTCATGAGTGTGCATAACATATATTGGGCCGATGTTTAGGGTTATAACAACCTCAAAAGGACGTTAGCATGCAGCTTGCTGACCTTTTGACCTCGTAGCTCCTGCAGCCGGGCTTCACCTCGGCAGCTTTGCTGAAGGCCTCCAGAGCCTCGAGGAAAAGGGCTCGGTCCAACAAACACTGGCCCTGGAGACGACAGGTTGTTAGTACTTTAGTAAAGAGCCACCTGGACCAGGGGGCATTCACTTTCATTTAAAAGGAAGAAAATCGGAAAGATGGTATAAGAAGCAAGTCATTGATTAATTTGTCATAGTTGTTGGAAAGACATCAGTACATGAGTCAATAAACCTTCAGTTTCATTATGAAAAATACAGACGTTAAAGCTGTGGGAGACTAAAGACTGAAACATGGCTCATCACGTCTCTCCGAGCTCAACTAGGAACCATTTCACTTCATGTTGAAAACACATTTTCATGTATTTTTGAGGGGTTTGAGGTTCAGCATTGAGCCCCGAGCGCAGCGTGGTGGACACCTGGAGGTAGTAGACGAAGGCCAGGCGGGCGCAGCAGGCTCCGGCCTGCAGCATCCAGGCCCGCTTGTAGCAGGCCGCCGCCGACTGGAAGTCGCACATCTGCAGGAAGGCCTCGGCGCGCCTCTCGTGCAGGTGAGGCTGAAACAAGAACAGGGGGCGGAGCCACCAGCTCACTGAAACATCTCACACCACTGAAGCCTCGTCGAAGGCTGATCTGATCATAGAACTCATAGGATTCCCCCAGAGCAGAGAGAACTCTGATTGGACCACAGGAGGTGGACTATGATTGGACCAGAGGAGGTGGACTCTGATTGGACCAGAGGAGGTGGACTCTCATTGGACCAGAGGAGGTGGACTCTGATTGGACCACAGGAGGTGAACTATGATTGGACCAGAGGAGGTGGACTCTGATTGGACCATAGGAGGTGGACTCTGATTGGACCACAGGAGGTGAACTATGATTGGACCAGAGGAGGTGGACTCTGATTGGACCATAGGAGGTGGACTCTGATTGGACCATAGGAGGTGGACTCTGATTGGACCACAGGAGGTGAACTATGATTGGACCAGAGGAGGTGGACTCTGATTGGACCACAGGAGGTGAACTATGATTGGACCACAGGAGGTGGACTCTGATTGGACCACAGGAGGTGGACTCTGATTGGACCATAGGAGGTGGACTCTGATTGGACCACAGGAGGTGGACTCTGATTGGACAAAAAGAGGACCATTGGACCATTGGTAAAATTGGACCATTGTAATGCTTGGTGCTCAAACATCAGTCGAAGCTGATGGACAATGATTTCTTCATTTTGAGTTTTTACTCTATGTGAAGATGGCAGACATTTTATCACATTAACATTAACATTCCTTAAGATGTTTTTTAACATGTGTTCTGTGAGCTGCTATTGAAATAAGTCTGTTGTGCGTCACTGTGCTGCATAGTAACAATCAATGTTCCTACAACCCTTGATGTAAATGGGCGCAGTCCAACACGCTGTCAGCACCTGCTCAGGCTGCAGCGTGACGCCTCTGGAGAAGCAGATCAGCGCCTTCCCAAACTGGGACTTTCCCATCAACTCTTTTCCATTCGTGTAACTGCAAAGAGAGAAGTTATTCACTCCTGAAGAGGCCCAGCCTGGATTCCTGTCAGTTGGCTTAACGATATTTGCAACACAGATACATTTGCTCCTCTGAATTAAACAGCCTGACGGTACTTTAGTAAAATGCTACGCTACAAACGACAATAAACAGTGAGGCTACAGTAGAAAAAGGTGTGTCTGTTTTCACTGTTGTGCGGCCTTGCTCTGGATGATGGCGCTCATCTGGAGCTCCGGTCTTCGCGGGCGTTCCCCCCCCCACGGCAGGAAGATTTCACTGGAGCAGAAAAGCCTCCTGGAGGGGCTTCTGCTTCGGGCTTCGTCCAGCTCATCTTCTGCCTTCGCTGTGGGAAACAAACGCAGCTTTTCCGCCTGCAGGTGAACATTTACAATCAAACTTAGAGAGAGGCAATGTGATAATACATATAAATAATGCGTGCTTACCTTTAATAAGGGGGTTATATGTGGTATGGTTGGGATGAGAAATTAAGAATGTGTAGTTTAAGTTGGAAGACGTATTATATACAACGTATAACCATTTTAAACTGCTAGTCAACGTTTTTATTTCACCCGTTAGTTTATGCATTCATGTCATACTTGTTAATGAGGACCAAAATGAATGTACAGAAAAAAAAGATTTTTTTTCTTAATTTTTTTTTAATTTAAACTCGAACTCATCGTCAAAACTAACATTTACAGCTGTAAATAAAATAATATTATGACTTTGAGACCAGTTTGTACTTGGTTTTAGTTGTAGTAGTCAATGCTAACGATAGATTGATTAAAAACACATCTCTTGCCGTTTGCTCCGTCCTGTCAGCAGAAGCCTCCATCGTCATCAGACAGCTGTTTAACACTTTCGCTCCGTTAATCTTCTCTTCTCTCTTATCTCTGTTATTTCAGAGCTGATCCGTTGTGGTTAAATCTGTTTGTCACCATGGAAACCAACTTCAACAATGAGGCTTTTATTTCGTAAACAGTGCAACAGATCCCAACGTCACTTCCGGCGAATGAGCCGTGTGTTATTTAACGTTTTACAACTGTTAATAGTTGTGAAGATATGATGTAACTTAAAGTAGCGTTTAAAAAACGTCACTAACGTGCGACACAATGGCTTTGGCGGCTTTGAAAATGCAACGTCGTAGGTTTAGCCGAAAGCCGGCGTTAGCTTAGCTTAATTCTCAATGAAAATATGCTAAATTGCTTTAAAGGCGCGGTGCGTGACCTCGACAGTGCTTATTAAAGGGCTTCGGTGGCTTTTGTGGTCCTACAACAGGGGGAGCCAGTTAAGTTAAACAACCGTTAAATAACGTCAGCACGGCGGGTTGAACCTTTATTTTGAAAACAGGGAACGACGGGCAGAAATGCCGATCAGCTGACTGAAATGGTGACAAAGCGAGTCATGGTCCCGGTGGAGGAAGAAGAAGCCGCAGCAGCTCGTGCGATGGCTTACCCTAAATGCCCGCTAGCTTAGCGTGTAGCCTCGAGTCTCTTTAGTCTCTTTAGTTTCGTCCTCCGGAAGCTGCTCGCTCGCCCCTTCGTCCCCCCCCCTTCTCTTGTCCCCCCCCCCCCCTCCCTCCCCCACAGGTGAGCTGCTTCCGACCTGTTGACACATGCGACAAGAACACGGCCGTTCATCTCCGGCATGGACATCCAGAGCGAGAGGAGGCGACTGCTGGACGAGGAGGACGGAGACCAGGACCCCCCCGGGCTGCTGTCCGAGCAGGACGCGTACCTCAGGTTGGTTTACGCGCGAGCACGCGCACACGCACGCGGTGTATCTGCGCAGTGACACGCGCGCCGCATTCCGGACGTTTGCACGTGCTGGTGTCATGTGGACGCACCTGATTTGTGGCATTCCATTCATCTGATGTGTGTTCCTCAAATCAATCAGTGGACTCTTGTCTCATGGGTTGTCCAGGTCTTATCCAGGTCTTATCCAGGTCTTATCCAGGTCTTATCCAGGTCTTGTCCAGGTCTATAAGTGTGTATTTGTCCATCCTGATTAACTTAATCCGTTACAATGTCTTAAGATTTAACGCATTTAGCAACTATTATAATCAACAGATGTGCAGGTGGACAGTTAGAAGTAACGTAGCCAATGAACAGCAGGATTTCCAGGCGCTCTGTCGAGCGTCTTGTTATTTCTTTTATGGTGTCACGTAAAGGATTGAAAGGACTCACGGGCCCAAACGGTAGTAAATGTGTTTTTTAACCCTTTTAAGAACAGGTGTGTTTCAGGATGAACGAAACAGTTGCAGACCTCCTCATTTAGTCTTTAGCTTTCCTTCGATCGCAGGCCATTTTCCTCGCTTCCTCCCCTCGCTTCCTCCCCTCGCGTCTTAGACCTTTTTGACCTTTCCGCTCTTCCTCCCCGCAGCAAGGTGAAGAACCGGAACTTGTACCTGGCCACGCTGGCGTGCGTCCTGGGGCCCTTGAGCTTCGGCTTCGTGTTGGGCTACAGCTCGCCCGCCATCCCCGAGCTCTCCCGCATCGCCGACCCGCGGCTGCGGCTGGACGCCGCCCAGGCCTCCTGGTTCGGGGTACTTCTTCTCCTTTTCATCTGGTTCATTGATTAGACCTAAAAAGTGCGGGAGAACCGCCTTGAGCTCCTCCTCCTCTGCGAGTCGCTGGCCGTGTGTTTAAGAAGGCGATGTGCTCCTCCTCCTCGCAGTCCATCGTGACGGTGGGGGCGGCGGCCGGCGGCCTGCTGGGCGGCTGGATGGTGGGGCGGATCGGCAGGAAGCTCACCCTCATGTTCTGCTCGCTGCCGTTCGTCTCGGGCTTCGTCGTCATCATCGCGGCGCGGAGCGTGTGGATGCTGTACGCCGGCCGGCTGCTCACGGGCCTCGCCAGCGGGGTCACGTCGCTGGTCGTCCCGGTAACCAGCCCTTCTTCATCCCACTCGTGCCGTCAGTCCTCCCTCGTGCTCCTCGTCCCGCAGTGATTGACAGCCGCGTGAGAGGCTCCTGCGCTCTGATTGGTTGATTCTCTCCAGGCCTTCAGCAGCCCGAGGGGGGAGGCGGGACCTTTTGTGTCCGTCTCGTCTGTCTGTTCCAGTGTCCATTTCAATAAAAATCTAGAATATTGATTAATAGTGGGATTATTAAATGGTAACTACTAATAATCTAAATCCTTTGTGTGCACCGTGTTGTGGTTTGGCCTCTTAAAAGTGAGTCCGTTGTGCGTCTGTTGAACATTATTGTAAAATGAACAAAACGAGACATTTGAACTATTGATTAACTGTTGATCTACTAACCTCAACTAACTATCGGCTCTTCTGCTTCTGCTAAAGTCTGAATCTGTCTCCCGCTCAGCTGTACATCTCTGAGATGGCACACGAGCGCGTCCGCGGCACCTTGGGCTCCTGCGTGCAGCTGATGGTGGTGCTCGGCATCATGGGAGCTTACCTGGCAGGTACGTTGGGCCTCCACGTGTTCGCGGCGTCCTCAGGTCCCGTTTGGTGAAGCGAGTGACGGTGTGGAGCTGTAGATCCACACGCTGTACTCACCCAGCGTCCCTCTGGTTTTCCTCCCCCTGTTGTCCCATCTGAGAGTTGAAAGGTCGACGAGGACGCTGCTCCTCGCTAACCCGGTTAGCCACGCGGACATTTGAATGTGGAGGAATGTGTTGTTGGAAGCTCGAGGAGGAATCAGGAATCAGGAATCAGGAAACATTTATTAGCCAAAATATGTCAAACAATTTGTCTTGGCGGTTAGTGCGCGACAGTAGACAGACAAGACAACAGTGCACAGGTAATAAAATAAAGTAGAATGAAATGTTAATGCAATGGGTTAGTAGAATAAGGCTATGGGTTAGTATAAAACAAGGGAATAAAGTTAAAAAAATTTAAATATTAAAAAGTTAAAAAGAAAAGTATTAAGCATAAAGTGCACTAACGAACAAGTAACAGACAAGAGACAAAGTGACAAGTGACAAAGTGATGAATTGCAGTTAAAGTGACGTGTGCAGTATGAAGGGGAGTGACCGGTGGAGTGTTAGTCAGTCAGTGGGGGACCGGCTCTGTTGATGAGCCCGACTGCCGACGGGAAGAAACTGTTGGTGTGGCGGGAGGTCGTAGTCCTGATGGACCTCAGCCTCCTCCCAGATGGAAGGGCACAAACAGGTTTTGTCCGGGGTGGGAGGGGTCGGCCACCATCTTTTTAGCTCGCTTCAGAGACCGCTTCAGAGGAGCCGCCGCTCTCGTGTTTCATCCTCGGGACCTGAGAACCTCCTCTCCGTGCTTCTTGGAGTCCTTGTGCCGTCTCCTTCTGTCCATAGTTTGTGTCTCTTTGAGGGACAGGTTGGATGGACTGGGTTCAGTGGTCTTCTGCGCTTTGAACCAGTGAAAAAAGAAATAAATGATCCAAAAATGCTTTAGGTTTACTTCTGGGTCCCCGCTGCTTTTATGGAAAAATAATCTGTAAAGAGCGAAGGGAAGAAACAATGTTGTAATAGTAAAATAGATTCTCCACAAGTCAGGAGGAAATGAACTTTGACCTCTTTCTCTCCACAACAGACTCTCCTAAATCTAAAACCGTCATTTCTACCTGTAGCCAGTCCAATGCTAACCCCCCCCCATTACCCCCCTGCAGGTCTCTAGCTGTAGCCAGTCCAATGCTAACCCCCCCCCCCCATTACCCCCCTGCAGGTCTCTAGCTGTAGCCAGTCCAATGCTAACCCCCCCCCATTACCCCCCTGCAGGTCTCTACCTGTAGCCAGTCCAATGCTAACCCCCCCCGCATGACCCCCCTGCAGGTCTCTACCTGGACTGGCGCTGGCTGGCGATCTGCAGCTCCGTCCCGCCCACCCTGCTGATGGTCTGCGTGTGCTTCGTGCCGGAGACGCCGCGCTTCCTGCTGTCGCAGGGCAAGAGGCGGGAGGCCGAGCAGGCGCTGCGCTTCCTGCGGGGGCCGGACGCCCCCGTCGAGTGGGAGTGCGCCCGCATCGAGGACGCCTGTGACGAGCAGGTGAGGACGACGTGTCTCCCCGGACAGGAGATGAGCGGACCCCAAACCGGTTTTCGCCATGTTGAATCCTACGACCCCCCCCGAGGACGCGAAAGCTGGACGGGTCCAACAAGTCCGATTGTGACCTGAAGGGACGACGTCCGCGCGTTTCTCTCCCCGCGCCGCGTTACTAGTAAAGTTTAGAGGACGCCGCCGGGAGGTAAAGCCGATGTCCTCCTGCGGACGTATTTGAGAATCTCCGTCCTCCACAGAGTGCCAGCTTCCAGATGTCCGACCTGAAGGACCCGGGCGTCTACAAGCCGCTGGTGATCGGCGTCATGCTGATGTTATTCCAGCAGATGACGGGCATCAACGCCATCATGTTCTACGCAGAGAACATATTTGAACGGGCACATTTTAAGGTGAGGACGCTGACTTTGTCCCCAAAGAGGTTGGACCGGAAAATATGAGTTCATTAATCATCAATTAAGCAGGAAAGTGAGTCTTTTCTCCTCTAGTCTGAACATCTTACATATCATATCATACATGAACGAGGGAACACGTTCATTATATTTCTCTTTTTAAGTCGTCTTGTTTTTAAATAACTACTTGTTCAGATCCTTCATTTAACTTTTAGAAATGACTTTAAACTACAAAATCCAAACGCAAATGAAAACTAGTCTTTCATCTCTAAATCCCCCTCCGAATTGTAAGCTAATCTACAAATGGATTGGATGCATGATGATGTGAAGAAGCAGAGTGGTTGAGATGTCTCCTCTCCCCAGGAGAGCGACCTGGCCTCGGTGATCGTGGGTCTCATCCAGGTCGTCTTCACCGGAGTGGCGGCGCTCATCATGGACCGAGCCGGAAGGAAAATCCTTCTGATAATCTCAGGTGATTTCTTTTCATTTTTTTTCATTCACTTCTTTTAATGCTTTTGAAGGACGGCTCCTCCGGCGTGGTTCTATGCACCTTCACCTGGAGGCGTTTCACCAAGCGGATCTCTTTGCGTTCGGTGTGAATGTGACCAGAACCACGACGGCCTTCTGCTGCGTCTCGCGCCTCCTTCCTGGCCTCTGATTGGCCGACGTCTCCATCGACTCTGAACAAGAGTCACCTGGAAAAACTCCAAATCTAAAAAAAAACTACGACGTAAACAGTTTGTGTTTTTGCGTCTCGTCCTTTTGGAAATGAAGGCGTTGCCATGGCGATCAGCACCACGGCGTTCGGGGTTTACTTCTACCTGATGTCCGGACTTCCCAGCCGGGCTGGAGAAGAACCGCACGCGGACCTGGCCTGGCTGGCCCTGGCCAGCATGGCCGTCTTCATCACAGGTGAGGGCCGAGGTCACCGGGTCAGCGGGGTCACCGGCCTGAGAGGTTACTCCGGTATTTAAAGGGCAACACGTGGGTCTCCGAACCCGGCAGTGACCACGGCACTAATTCAGCCGTCCAGAGGTGGAGCAGGTTTGCAGCTGTAGAGTTTTGACATTAATGTTCCCAGAGAGAGACGGTGGCGTCATCTGCAAAGCTGCTGATCCTCTGAACAGAATAAATCTACAAAGCGTCGGCGTTGGCCACTTTGCAGAGCTGTAAAAAGAACTCTGGTCCGTCACATGATACTATGAAAGTACTCTTAATACTTTTAATGACGTATTCGATGAGCATCGTGTACTTTAGGTAGTAAGTATTGATGATGCAGTACAGTGTTCCCTGTCATTGGTTTGCAGCGTTTTGTCTAAATGCCTCATTCTTTATGATGTGAGAAAAGTCAAAACGCTCGGAGACCCAAGAGGCCTTTGAAAGAGTTCATTCAGCTGAAGAAGTAGGAAGATTTCCTCTACACACGAACGCCTCGTCCTTGACTTTATCCCCGCTGTGTCCAGGCTTCGCTCTGGGATGGGGTCCCATCCCGTGGCTGGTGATGTCGGAGATCTTCCCCTCCAAAGTGAGGGGGGTCGCCAGCGCCGCCTGCGTCCTCACCAACTGGAGCATGGCCTTCATCGTCACCAAGACCTTCCAGGACCTGATGGTGAGCGCTCAGCAGGACTCAGGGGCTCAAGGAGGTTTCAAGAGAGTTTGGTTTCATAAAAATAGAGGCTAGTTAGGAGATCGTAAAATATTTGTTTTTCTCTTTGAGATTAAGACTAAATAAATATGTTATACACTTTTAAGGGTTACTGTAAGACCTTGAAAACTTTGAAATAGGAGCCAAATAATTATATAAAATGATAAGAAATGCACACCTGTGTGATAATTAACAACAAAATGATAAAGACTCACCTCATCCAGGCAGAGTCACAAGTTTAAAACAGTTGCAGCATTTTAATATTGATTGTAGTCAGAAGACAAACCAGAATGACTGTTTACCCAGAGCAGCTTCTATCAGAGGTCAGAGGTCAACTACTGTAGACAAGTTAAGCTATTTCATTTGAAGGAAACTGAATACAATATGTACCTGTGTCTCGGGCTTTTATTGTGAAGGGTAAAAACAAAAGTTTGTCATTAGACTAAGTAGCCTCTGTTTTTTTTGTTGGTTGGTCTTTTCAAGATGTCCGTTCCGTGATGATTTTATTTGCAGTTGCGTCTCTTCTTTGAATGGACCAAACATCTGTATCATAAAAACATCAGGCGTCTTAAAGCCTTCAGATTCAGTGTACAGAGTCTTGTCATGTGACCCCATGAAGCCTTTCTGGGACATCGGTCTGAACCTGTGGCCTCTTCTAGGGTCTTCTCACCAGCGCCGGGACCTTCTGGCTCTTCTCCTCCATGTGCCTCCTCAACGTCCTCTTCACCGTCGCCTTCGTCCCGGAGACCAAAGGCAAGACGCTGGAGCAGATAGAAGCCTCCTTCAGGGGGTCATCAGGTCCATGACGAGCCCCGCCCCCAATAGAAGCCTCCTTCAGGGGGTCATCAGGTCCATGATGAGCCCCGCCCCCAATAGAAGCCTCCTTCAGGGGGTCATCAGGTCCCAACATCCCTCACGGTCGCCCTGAGCCCGTTTGAGCCGGCGACGCTGGTTGAAACACTTTCTTATCAATAGTTTTTTGGACACAGCTGGGAATAATTATGATGTAATGTTCCGCGTTCTGTTGAATTGTTTGGCATTGATTCAAGGAAGGTGTTCCTATTATTTTGTCCATCCCGTACACATACGAAGCTGACTTTTGGGTGTGAACCCTTCGGCCAGTCGGCCCATTAAATAAATAAAGTTATCGTCATCGCTGCCTCATGGTCCGACCAGTAGCACACGCACACGGACGAAACAAATCATTTCATTAATAAAATAACCTTTTTTTTCTAGTTTATTGCGAAAACAAAGCTTCATTCATCATCATTTCACTGGAACTGTTCACTTGTACGTAGGCCCACCTGTACTGGGGTCTTTTACAACCTTCAGGTTTTTATTTCTTTTAGTATGAAGCTATGATGAGCTTGAAATGATTAACTATTGATTTCTAGTGTTTACTTGATATGATCAATATGCATCTCAAGTTACCGCTGCAGCTCTACATTGCAGTTTTATAGTTAATCCACCTGTGTGACCCTCTCAGCTGGTTTTCTACACCAGGAGAAAAATACTCCAAAAGCAACATGGAAAATACCTTTATTCAGTTTCATATGTGTAGGCAATATGCAGGCTTTTCAAAACAATGTTTTATAGCAGAACCTTTATTGTGGCGGTGCTTTGGGAGGTGAAGCGATTTGTTTATCTGCCGTTTGCGTTGATCATTCATTTAACTGAAGTTAATGTCATCAGAGAAATGAAGTGATCAATCAAACTGATTCCGTGATGGAAACCGTTTCCAATGACGTAATGAATACGGGTTTGGTTTTGTAATAATTTACTCACGAAAAAAATAACTGACGAGTACACTGAAGATAATGGTGATGTCATTCTTCACTGACCTGAAAAAAAATAATCTAAACTTGTTTTACTTTGTATAAAAAATGTCTTTTTTTTCACAACAATTGTTCTTTTGTCTTTGTTTGCTTCGAGTTCAGTGAAGCTATGAATCATTCCTCTGTCATTTTTTCGAGTTGCCTTGATGAATGTTTGTAATAATATTACAATCCATCCATGTATTTGTTTTTACATTTTAAAATTCACTTAATTTTTTCATTCATTCATTCACACCTTTATTTTTTGTAATTAAACTGACAATAAACTGATTAAAATTGCTGTATTGCTTTGAATGTCTTGCTATTCAAAGAACTAACATTATTTTAAATAACCTTTTTAACAGTTGACATTTAATGCACAGGGTAGAAAGACATCAACATAAAGTAAATCATCTAAAGATGTAAATTAAAATGTCTTTGCTGGGTTTATCCTGGAAAAATTTACTTGCGTCACAATAAATAATGTATATTTTGACTAATGACTTACTTTGTATCCATGTTTTGTCATACTTAACAATTTGCTAATATTAATATATAATTATTGTAAAGCCAGCTTTAGTTCTCCACATAATAGTAGTCAAGATAAGATAAACACGTATAAAATCCCAAAACATTTGAATATAAAAGGAATGTTTAAAAACTCTTTGTCCTTTACCGTCTTCGTAGTTTAAATTCTGAGTTTGCGCACTGGGATTTTCAAAATAATTTTTTTTTAAACCGATGTGATAAATTTGTCTGGTAACGTTGGATGAAATACCGCCGCCTAAATCCACGAGGAGCTAACATTCATTAAAATGTGCCGATTATTATGTTATTTGCAATTAAATCGATACAGTTCCTCACCTGTGAAACTATTTTGAACGCCACCCTCTACGTCACTTCCGTTCAGCGGTCAAAAACAACGGAAACACTTCCCAACCGCCCCGGTGTCACCGCTTTCGTCGTCCGGACTCTCAGCCGCCTGTCTCGCTACTTGTGCTCGGGGGGCTCGGGGGTTCGGAGACTCTGCGGGGAGGAGGAGGGGGGGGGAGAGAGAGAGCTGCCGCGGAAATGGAGTTGAACCTCCAAAACAACAAAGTGTCGCACGGAGTTTGAGCCAAAGGCAGCAGGACGAGGGGAAGACGGAGGGGGACTCATGGGTCCCCGTTGAATGCGAGGGAAGGAGGGGAATAAAGAAGCGAAGGGATCGAGGAGAAAGATGAAGCTGCTGAAGCCGAGCTGGGTGAGCCACAACGGTAAGCTCGTGCAGGAATCCGCCGCACCAACTTGGGCTTTTGTTGTCGGCGGGGGGGGTCGCTGAGGAGGCACGGCGGCGCTGCGCGACACTAGTTCGACTAGTTCGTCGCTTACTAGTCCGGTGAAGCCGTTACCGAGCGCACCCCCGGGAAACCGGGCGAGGGGGGTCTCTCTGTCACTCTCCGTTGTTCCTGACGTTCTAACGTCTGCTAACACTAGCTAGCTAGCTAGCTAGCGCAGCCACCCGGCTAGCTGGGGTGCCGTGACGTCAGCTAACTCGCCGGCCAGAGGAACCACGCTGGAGTCTCGCAGCGACCCGCGGGCTCACGGTCTCCGCCGTCTCTGAGAGCTCACACCGGGTCTCTGTGACGGTCACCGGGCTGGAGGTGAAGCCACCGGAAGCCTCCCCGCAAGCTGTCAGTGGGGCCAAAGTTAGCCGCTGGTTGTGGGAAGGAGCGGCCTTGGTTTAGGGTGCATCTGAGGGTTAATATCATCACGGGTTTAGGGCTTTACGATTATTCTCCGAGTCCGTGAAGCATCATGAGTCCGTGTGTAAGCGAGCGGCTCATAACTGACATTAGTTATTAAGGAAATAACAAGCAGACATTCCAGATGTTTGCTCTTTTTTGCACTGTTTTGTTTTTTGAGGACAAGTTAAACTTTTATAGACTTTGGAATTGTGGAATAAAATGTACCAATTTAGTCATTTCAGAGGATTTCATTATGTCAGTTTCCGAGATATACCAATATTTTAGATGTGTTGATATGAAACTACACATGATAATATATATATATAGTAATATGATACTATACATTAGATCACATAGTAATAAGTCATATAAGTGTTGTCTATCTCCAGTAAAATGATGGCATCATCTTTCCAGTCTCGACTTTTCTTTACCCACTTACTCCTCATATTCACAGCGTTGATTACTATATTTTTTATTATCTCAATGTTTAAACATTTGGTAAAAGCACCGATTAGTGTGTCGTCCAGCTTTGTGAGTCTGTGATAATTGATTGATTATCAAAGTTTAATTATCTGTTTTTTAACATTTTAATTTAATAAAACTGGTGTTATTTCATGTGTTTTGTTTCTTAGGCAAACCCATCTTCTCGGTGGACATCCACCCCGATGGGACAAAATTTGCAACCGGCGGGCAAGGTGAGAAAAACACTCCCACCCTCTGCCACCGAACTGTGGGATTTTCAGAATAAAACGCAACGATGCCGTAACCTTGTGTTTCAACTTTTTCATTTTGTTTGTTTGTGTGTGTTTTTTCAGGAGAGGATTCCGGCAAGGTGATGATCTGGAACATGCGCCGGTCCTCAGAGACGAGGACGAGAAGAACGAGAGTATTCCCAGATGCTTTGCCAGATGGACAATCACCTCGGTAACTGGGCGTGTTCGTTTACACGGTTGTGGTTGAGATACTCGCTGATTAGTTCCTCTTGTCAGAAGTTCTCTTCGTCCGTCCGGCTTCTCTTCCCTGTCCGTTGATGTTGCCGTGGAGACGCCTGATGAGGAGGAGCGAGTTTAATGTGCCGTCTGTTCTCTGCAGCGTGTGTGAACTGTGTGCGCTGGTCCAACAACGGGCTGTACCTGGCGTCGGGGGGGGACGACAAGCTGGTCATGGTGTGGAAGAGGGCTGCGTAAGTGCGCACACACACACACACACACACACACACACACACATGCACGATGGCCAAACCTGAGGTTAAAAGGAAATGTTTGTTGGGTAGTTTCATCGGGCCGAGCACCGTGTTCGGGTCGAGCAGCAAGCTGGCCAACGTGGAGCAGTGGAGGTGTGTCACCATCCTGAGGAACCACACTGGAGGTGACGCACACACACACACACACAAACACAGTCTCTAATTATCGTCCTTTCAATATGTCATTTGAAAAAAAGCTTTAAATTGTACTCAATAAAAACACTTTATTCTACTGCTCTCATTTAATATATTGCCATTAATACATTGTTTGCTCTAAACAGGTTCTGTAAATAACATTTAATTCTGAGAAATATGCAGCTGTGAATATAACGTTCTCTGTACTTCGTCATGATTGTGTGTGTGTAGATGTGATGGACGTGGCCTGGTCCCCTCATGACGTGTGGCTGGCCTCCTGCAGCGTGGACAACACCATCGTCATCTGGAACGCCCGCAAGTTTCCAGGTAGGAGACGCAGAGAGAGTCACAACATCTGGAGCCTCACAGCTGGACACGATGGGCCGAGCGAGGACTCGTCAAACAGACGCGGTGGTTCCTTCCGAACGTTCTCGCGTGACGACGATTCCGTTTGCTGAAGAAGCTAAAGTACTTCTAACGCGTATGTGGAGCATGTGTCTCTGATCCGCGTCTCCGTCCCCGTCTCCAGAGATGGTGACCTGTCTGCGGGGACACACGGGGCTGGTCAAAGGTCTGACGTGGGACCCGGTGGGGAAGTACGTCGCCTCGCAGGCGGACGACCACAGCCTGCGAGTGTGGAGGACGGTGGACTGGCAGATGGAGTCCAACATCACCAAACCCTTCAACGAGGTGCACCAGACCCCCTCTATGTCCACAGAGACCGTTTGTCCTTTTAATGCTGACCTGCTCTCCTAAATGAGGCTTTTTGACTCCTTGTCCCAGTGCGGGGGGACGACCCACGTCCTGCGTCTGTCCTGGTCCCCTGACGGGCAGTACCTGGTGTCGGCCCACGCCATGAACAACTCGGGGCCCACCGCCCAGATCGTGGAGCGGGACGGCTGGAAGACCAACATGGACTTTGTGGGACACCGCAAGGCCGTGACCGTGGTGGTGAGGACAGGGTCTCTGTCTTTGGGGACGACGAGGTCTCAGCCGGGACGTTTGACGGGAGCTGGTTCTCTTTCTCTCCATAGAAATTCAACCCAAAGATCTTCAAGAAGAAGCAGAAGAACGGCAGCGCCCCCAAACCCGGCTGCCCGTACTGCTGCTGCGCCGTCGGCAGCAAGGACCGCTCGCTCTCCGTCTGGGTGAGTCCGCCGCGCCGCGGTCCAACGCCCGGCAGGACGCCGCAGCTCTCGCTGTTCGTCCGCTCGACAATTTTACTTGTAACTTCTAAATGCTGAACTGTGTTTTTATTTCCTCCAGCTGACCTCCCTGAAACGCCCCCTGGTGGTCATCCACGACCTGTTCGACAAATCCATCATGGACATTTCCTGGTGAGTCCGGTCGGGTGAAGACTAAACGTTGAGATGAAGAAGAGTCGTTTAGATGTGTGTGTGTGTGTGTGTGTCAGGACTCTGACGGGTCTGGGCATGTTGGTGTGTTCGATGGACGGCACGGTGGCCTACCTGGACTTCTCTCTGGACGAGCTGGGAGACCCTCTGAACGAGGAGGAGAAGGTCAGACCCTCCTCATCCTCTTCCCTGTGTGGCCTTAAAGTGTTTCCTGAGTTCCTCAGAACAAATAA